CCTCTGGGGTGCTGCCTGGGGCTGGTGCCCAAGCAGATGTGTGGGAGCCATCAGGCTCCTCTGGATGAGGTGGAAGAAGCTGTCACCAGACCCACTCAGTCTCTTGCATACTGTGTGTCCTCCAAGCCCTGCTCTGCATACAGAAGTAGTGATTCCCCCATGGGCTCTCTTGTACTCATCTCCATAGTGTTGTGTGTGGTTTAACACTACCTCAGTTTGTGAGATGAAGAGCTTGCTAACTCTGTTTCACACTTGAGAAACTGTGACACAGGATGCTCAGGGCTGCAGCACCTTTTGGCTTTGGCTTTCCAAGGAGAGTGGGACAGGAAAGCTCTTTGAGAATACTCAGCATTACTATCCTGTACAACCTGCTGACTGCTTGAATTGCTGCAGGCTGTTTCATTGTTTTTTTTCCATTGCTTCCTAGCTGTTCACTTTCTCTGGATGATTTTTTCAGCCCTCCCCACCTCCAGCTCTTTGTAAGGCTCTCAGCTGAAGCCCTCAGGCTTCATTTCCCTGTTCCCCTTCCTGGCTCGGCCCAGCTCTAGCCCAGCACTTTGATTCTCACTGCTGTGCCATTGCCCAGCTTATGAAGCAGCCTCCCTTTTTCTCTCGTGGCATTTCTTGACATTTCCCATACTTCAAAAAAGATTGAGACAAACACCCAAGAAAAAAATTTCAGCCTGAAGTGCAGAGATGTGGTGAACATACAAGAAACCAAGCATGGTCAATGTGCAGTGCTGCGGGCCACTGCTTGACAGCTGCAGCTCGTTCCTAAGCAATATCATAAAGAGAAATTCTCAAGGAAGATCAGGATGCAAGTACACCAGGTGAGAGGAGTTGATTAGTACATTGCAAAGACATCCAAATAAAAGTTTGTGAGGAGGAAGAAATTGATGTCATTTGTTGCTGACCCGGCTTTCCCTCATCTCTCCATCTTTCTCCCTTTATATTTGCTCCATTTTGGACCCAGAAATGAATACAAATTAGTTTAATAAAATTTCCCAACTGAGACACAAAACATTTGGAAATGATTTTAAAATACACCATGCAGCTGAAATGTCATGGTTAATTTTAAGCTGCAGCATGCAGCTGATATCCTCCGGCTATTTCAGCAGTGCAGAAGATTGTAATTATTCACCTGCTAGAGCAAATGAAGCTTTAACAAGCCTGATCGCAGTTGAAAAGGAGGAGTGGAGAGGATGGGGAGACAGATGCTGTCTCGGTATGTCATCTGTGAATGATGCCTTTGTAGCTCTTTGGGAGGAATTAGCCAGCTATAAAGAAAAAAGCTATAATACAAAATGGACCGTTCTCTGTAACAGCAACTTTTTCAGATTTCCCTTTGACAAAGTTTTCCCAGTTAACTTACTGCAGGATAGTCGTGACAGTACAGTTCCCAGCTGGTATAACGCATCTATTTTTATGGGGAATTTAAAAAAAAAAAGTGAAATGAGATTAAAAAAATATTATCAGTGGTGACCAAACTACTGTTTCTCAAGTGCTACCTAGTATTGTCTTTACAGCAATGGATGTATTCTACTTTTGATTTTTGCCTTTGATCAAGAGTCTGTGGGGCCCCTGTTCATGTTGCTGTTGATTCAGGATTGCTCCCATCTCTGGGAGCTTCCTAGGTGTGAATGAGGAGCTTTGTGACTGTGAGCAGGGCTGGGACCAGTCCTTGAGCCAGGAGAAGGGGCAGGGAGCCTTGTGCTGGGTCTGTCCCAGGTGCAAAGAAATGTTCCTCTCCCAAGAAGTTCTGGGAAGGCAGTTTCACTGTGAGTGCTCTCCCAAGTCCTTCTCTCAGTGACGTGACCATCTCCTGATGATTCTCTCCAGCATGTAGATGAGATCAGGGCCCTGAGCACAGGTTTGGGTGGGTCTGGTATGCCTCAAGGTGTGCCAGTATGAGAGGCCCCAGATGACAGTGCTGTGCCTGTGCTGTCCTGTCTCTGCTATTTGCATGTAGTTTACATGGCCACGCTATATAAAGGACCAATGTGTCACACTGGGAGCTTTTTTATCTGCCATAAATCAAGAAAAATACAGACAACTGAGCTGTCCCTTAATGGTGGCTGGGGATTTTCTCATCTCCTTGTACTAATGCTCCAGTAAATGTATTTTTCCTCTTGCTTTTGCCTGATGTTTTGTAATCTGCAGTTTTAGAGGCAACATTCTGCTCAACCACAAGTTTAATTTTTCTGTTTAATTTTTAAGAGAAACAGCTTGATCTTCCTTCATCCCACACTGATCTCAGTAAATATTAGGTACTTTGAATCACAGAAACCTTTCTCACCGAGGCAGTGCCCATGTAGCACTGAAAAGAGCTTGACACGTCAAAATGATGTCGCTTGCTTGCTTGTGCATGGAAGTTAGAAAGCACTTTGAAGTGGCAATGAAGTAAGTTCCTGCTACTTAACAGAAAGTTTTGATAAGATCATATTTGTTAGCAGAATACTTACCAGAAGAGCTGTAATCCACTGTTCTGTGGAAACAAAGATCCTGATGGAGAGCAGCTGGTCTCTCCTTAACAAATCCGTCCTCACTCCTTGCACGTTTCCTTGGAAGGAGCTGGGTGGTGGGTGCTGGGCTTGGGCCTTCGACCCCCTGCTGGGTGCCTTTCTTTCCTGATGTCTTCAGAGCCAACAGCAGGTGATAACACTGTGTTTCTCAACTTAAGCACCAGGAACCCCTTCATGCCTTGCTGTCTCTCCTCACCTGAGAAAAATGTAGATTTGCCAGATGATTTGAAGAGCTCCCACTTGTGATAGGAATGTCAGACTCTCCCCACGCTCGGGGCAGGGATCAGCACTCCACAGTCCCAAATTCTTGTTGCTTTTTCTGTGTCTCATTATCTGAACTACCCTTTATATTTTCTCTAGGCTTGAGTGAGTGATTTTATAGCTGAAATTCTTTTTATACGAGATAGATGTCTGTAGCATACCCCACCCTGTTTTGGTCCTTGACATTACTTAAGCTGACCTCTATTTACCAGTGTCTTACTAAACCCACCTAGCAGAGTGCTAGGAGCCACCAGACATTTCAGAGCAGCACCCCAGTCTTTAAGTCATGCAATTGCTTAGGAAAAGAAAGAGCCACGTCTGGAAAAATCAGACTCTAAAGAAACTGAAGCAGCTGGAATGCTTCAGAAGAACAAAGAACAGGCACTGGTAACATGCACAGAGTGTTATCAAAAGCAGGAGGCAAGAAAGAAAGTCTAGATTTTTACTAACTGATCCTATTAGAGGCAAAAAAATAATTGTGGAGATGGTTAGATGCCTTCAAAGAGAGAGGACAAAACATCAAGATGCCCCTGGTGTTCCCCAGAGCACTGTGGGCTGTAAAGTCCTGACTTCAGTAACCATAAACTGACTGGCAATCTATGTGCACAGATGCAGGGAAGCCCCTTGTGATTTCCAGGAGTAAGACTGGAGTGAGCATCGTGACATACTGAAGACATAGGCACAGCTTGTGGAGGTTTTAATAAAGGACATAATAGTGCAAGATAGTCTAAGGGCACTGATGGCACTGAATTCCCTCAATGTGAACATGTACAGTGGCTCATAAAGACGTGCTTCTGAAGAACCAGGCTTGAGCCGTGGCATCAAGCAGCAGTGGCTGGGGTTCCATGGGACAGACAGAGCAGCAATGCTCTCCTTCCATGGCCTTCCTTCCTGCTGCAGGCACAGCAGGCTTTGCACACCTCGGGCTCCTTTGGGCCCATCCGCAGCCCTGATGGCTGCAGCAGTGGAGGTTGTGGTGGGATGGCGGGGCTGTATTCTGCTCCTGGTGTCCCACTGTGGTGCTGGGAGCTTGGTCCCCTCATTCCTGGCAGGAGGCAACAGTTTTGTGTCTCTGGGAGGTGAGGAGTGGTGAGGAGAGCTCACAAATCATGTCAGGGATTTTTGCCCCAACTTCAAAGGGTTACAGCAATGTGACAACTGCTAACAGCTTCCTGTGCAGGTAAATTATATCTGAGCCTGCTTTGCAGAGGTTGCTCTAATGACTTGCTAACAAGGATTCATCCAGGAGCCATGACATGGAGCGTAAGTAATTGCAATCATACGGTGCCTGTGTCATTGACGCTTTCTGCTATTCTGTAATAACTACTATAATACTGTGTATAATTGGAAAGAAATGTAGTGTATTTTTGCTTTCTGAAGAACTGATGCTGATAGAGTGAATGGCCTCTAAAATCCTTCTGGGTATTCATGTATATCTCTGTAGTGTAATATATGGTCTTCTTATCTGACACTGCCTAAATTAATGTTGAACCAGTGGAACTACTGTGAGTTCTCTCTGCTTCTGAGTTAGATTTCTGGATATTTACCATGTAAATCATTCGCTGCATTGGGCTCTCAAGAGAAGCAGGACAGACTCTGAACATCAGAACACCTTGTGCTGTTAGTGGATGGCTCCTTCTTCTCGAGGGACTCAAATTAGATTTAAAAAGAAGAAAGATTTCATACTCTTTCACATTCAGTGTTTGAGAATTAAGAATGTACTCACGAAGCAAAAGGTAATTTATCTGGATTTTGTGGTTCTAGCTTTCCAAACAAATTGCAGTCACGTTAATTTCTTCTGGGAACATCTGCATTTAAATAAATCATAAAACAGGAGGTTTATATGCCAATATTTCACTTTTTATTTATACTTTTTTCCCCCCCAGGGAAAATATTCTTGGTGTTTGTCAGTAAAAGAAGGTCAAGAAAAGTTAAAAATAAAAGTGCTGAAGCAGGAATCAAAGCATTGTCACTTAACCTGGAATAACAGAACATTGCCAGACCAGATCTAAGTCAGACCAGTCCCTCATCCAAAAAAACCCCGTATGTTAAAGACTGCCTCTGATCTGAGTTCCAGTTTTCTATTGACCTTGAATGTTTATGGGTGGATTTATTGTTAAGGAGGGGTTAGCAGATGAGCCGACACCCCTGTAATGGAGTGAAACCTGGCAGTAGAAATGAGGAATAAATAGCTGTTGGCTTTTTTTCCCTTCACAGGCACCAGGGTTACGTTTATACCTACAGGGTATCCAAGACAGAATCTGGGTCCTGGAGTGCTGAGGTACGTGCTTCTCTTTTCTGAAAACTTCGGTATCCTGTTTGGTGTTGGTATTGATTTAATGAAATGTATTCAAATTATTCATGCTTCTGCAAAGTCTGATTTTCACTGAAGGTAATCGATGTTGAGTGAACCCATCACAAAGATGTCTTGGTGCCACTTCTGACAATCTTGAACTCATAAATTAATTCCCTGTTACATTTCAGCTGTTGCATAATGCATTAGTGCATTACTTTGCATCATTTTCAATGGCAAAAAAATATTATGTTTTTATAATTTGACAAGCACAATCAGTATTCAATTCCTTTCTATCTCACATGCCATTAACACTAGAATATTTAAGGAAATACTTTTCAGTGCACAGTGTTTTAAACTCAGTTTCTCTTCAGAAACTTGTTACAAAGTGTATTTTCACTTGGTTGATAAGAAACCAGTAATTCAGGCATAGCGTAACACTATTTGCAATACAGATGACAATTTAGATTGATGGAATCTAAATGATAACCTCAGTTTCTTTTATGAAGATCTTGTTCTTTGGATGTAATCTCCATATTGCTTTATAATTGTATTTCTGTTTGCACATTAAGCCTGATTTACAGACACTAAATAATTGCTAGGCAGGCATAATTTCTTGGTTACTGTGCTAGCAGAAGTGGTTGCAATGCTCTGGAAGACAGGAGTGAGTCGTGGTGCTACTTGGAATCAGGTCAAGAGATAAAGCATGCACATTGCTGCAGCTCAGTAATTATCTGCCTCAGCCCTGAGAGCAGTGCTGAGGAAGAACTCACAACTTACTGCACAAGGGACATCTTGAGGATTTGTGCTGCCTGGCGAGTGGGTCTGGAGCAGTGCTGGAACCCGTGGGGCATCTACCTGTCAAGGGAGCTTCAAGGGAGGCCGCAGCATGCTTTGGCCCTGATAACAGCAGTATCTGCAGTGAAACCTCTGTAGAGGAAGTGCTAGTTATGACACTAACTATTCCTTTATGCAACAGTAAACCTTAGTGCAAGCAGTGTCAAGACCATGCTGGACTCTACTGCTAAGAACAGGAGTCTCTGTTTTGCCCTCTTTCTTGTCCCCATGGGATGTGCCTTCAAAGCTGATGCTGGAGATTTCCCGTCTCTGCTTTCTGCTCTGGGATGTGGTGTGTGAGCAACCCCAGATCACATCCATCCTTCAGGAATAATGCAGGGAAATGAAAACAGTGCCAGTCAAATCCCTCTTATTGGAAACCTCTGGCATATAGCAGTGGAGGCGGGATTTAGTGCAGCATTTGCAAAGATGCTAACATAAAAAGATTGAAAAAATCCCATTTTTTATCAACTAGGTAATGTCTGACTGCTTCCTTTGCACCAGAAGATGGGTGGGAATACTCAGTGAACACATTGAAAAGCAGTGAAGGCTTAAAGGCTTGCAATTGGGCAGTATCTGTGCCTGAGATTAATGGTGTGAGGTGAATGGTCAGTGCCAGGCAGTTCTCACAGTCATCTTACTGGTGTTTCCCAGGGGGACTGCAGACTGCCTTGACTTGGGATCATAAATAGCAAAAGACCACTTGAGAATGTGCTCAGCAAGAACCACGGGCTCTGAGTTTCATTTGCTGAGGCAGTGTTGGAATCATACTTGGATGGGAGGAGAGCAGGAATGGCTCATAGCTTGTTGTCAGCTGGCACCTGGAGGGGCTGAGGGAAGGGCTGGCTCCATCCCAACGCATGGCTGCTTTTCTGAGGACAAGAGCTCATCACCAGGGCACTGACTGCCTCGCCTCCCCTCACCTCTCACCTTTGGGTTCACAGACGGCACCCGGGGTTCACCGGCGGCTCTTCCGGAAAATGCACAACCTCATTTCAGCCTTCCAGAAACCCGACCAGGGCATTGTTACACCCCTGAAGCATCCGGTCATCAACCATGCGAAAGCCAGGTGTTCTCCAGGTACCCATGGGGTGCAGGCAGCCTCAGCTGTGAGGGGCAGGGCCCTCCATGGGGGTGGTGATCTTGAGCCTGAATGAGCCAAAAATATGACCCATTAGGGACTTCAACCTGATGAGAAAATCCATTTAAATACGTATATTCCTGAGTAATACATCAGAGGTAGATACTTGCCTTCCCCGCTGCTGTGGCTCTGGTAGGGGTGGGTCATCTGATCTGTTCTTTTTCATCCTTCTGTAATTCTGTGATTATTTTTCTCTAGGTAGAAATGACGGTCGTGACTGCCTGCAGCCATCATGAAGACGTTTCCCCGTGGAATAACCCCAGCTCCCAGTAGTGCCTCCGGTCCTGCTCTAGAACAGCACAAGCTATGATAGTTAGTACAACTCTGTGAGTTTTCTTGTAACATTTGCTGAAATGTGTTTCATAGTATTTCTAGCTCAAAGTTTAGAAGTTTTAGGTTTCAGAATGTTTTTTTTTAAATTTTAGTTTTATTTTTTTTGGTAAGAGCTAAGAGAAAAGCATCAACAACTAAATGGTGTCATATCTTTTTTTTTTCTTTTTTGCAGTCCTAAGTGCAAAATATTTTCTAATCTCAAGACTAGTCACTCTATTTTACATAAACTGACTTTCAACTCTTCTATGCTTTCTTCTGATAGGCATTTATGGGCAATACCCCTTTTGTAGGCTTAGGAAAATTGCTTATATCGAGTGTCCTTTCCTTGAACTCAGACTTGGTGTCTGTGTGACTGTCGTACAGTTCCAAAAGGTATTCCAGACATGGCCTCAGGAGAATTCCCACTAGCTGATTTCCCATCATATCAGGCTCTCTGCAATCCAACAGAACCACTCAGTGCTGTCTCCACGTACAAAATTTATAATTTGCGCAAAGAATTGAAAGCTCAAGTAACGTTCTGAGTAAATGAGAACAATCACTAGTGGAGAACCTCATACTTTTTATTTTTCCAATATTTTCTCTACTTGAAAAAATCCCCACCACGTGTAAATAAATAAATAAATAAATAAATATGTATATATGTTTATGTATTTACATAATATTTACTTTTATTTCATTGTCATATGTTTTAGTAAGTTGCTGCTGGGCTCCTGTAGGAGAGGCTTACATCTGGAGGACTTGTTGCCTTGCAGGGTTAGCACTGTCTCCAGTGCTGGAGCACTTGGCTGCTTAACTTGGTGAGCTGCCCAGGTTGGCCGGCAGTGGGGAACACTTCCCTACAGACTCGATGTGCTGGAGCCCTCTTGGTTTGTGTTGTGTTACTTTTCACCAGCAGATATGGGCCTATCACAAAAGCACTCCCTTCAAAGGACACAGCTAATGTTGATTGCAATTGGGTGAGCATGGCCAGCAGGGCGAGGGAGGTGATCCTCCCCCTCTGCTCTGCCGTGGTGAGGCCACATCTGGAATGCCGTGTCCAGCTCTCCTCGGTTCTAAAAAGACAGCATCTCCTAGAAGGAGTCCAGCAGAGGGCCTGAAAGGTAGTGAAGGGCCGGAAGCATCTCTCGTATGAGGAAAAGTTGAGAGATCTGGGGCTGTTCAGCCTGGGGAAAAGACAACTGAGGGGGGTCTTATTAATGTTTGCAAATATGTAAAGGGAGGTGGGAGGCAAATGGATGAAGACAGGCTCTTCTTGATGATGTGTAGCAACAGGACAAGGAGTAATGGCCTAGAACTTGAACATGGGAAGAAACATGCGGAAGAACTTCTTTATGGCAAGGGTGACAGAACACTGGAACTGGTAGCCCAGAGAGGTGGAGGACTCTCCTTCTATGGAGGAGGTTGTATTGCTTAAATGTCTAATGCTTGAATGTTTCATGCCTGTACTTCCAACTTCTTCAGCACAGCTCGGAAAGCTGGAAATTTCTGAGAAGATATAGAGAGCTTTTCCAAAACCACCAGGCTGCAGGCTTGGGAGATCAGGACAGATCAAATCCCACCAGAAGGGGGCAAGCTGTGAACTAGGGGTATGGGGAAAGGCAGGGCTGCAGCCATGTTTGTAGCATCAGGCTACACTGGGGGGCATCACCCAACCATTCTACCAAGCAGGCAGACAGACTTTCGTAATCCATTTAGCTGTTTTGTCCCAGATTCTGGCTTGTTGTCGCTTCACTGAAAAGGAAACAGTGAAGAGTTAAAAGGGCAGCAAGAACAGGCACTCAGCAAGGTTCAGCCACTTGAAGCAGCATTTTAGTTTGGATTTGATAAGGCTGCAAGTTTTATCTTTTATTTTATTCCTATAAGTGGCCATGTGTGTACGAACGAGAATGAGAGAGAGAGAGAGAGAGAGAAAGAGCAGCAATAAAACATTCATCATGAAGCACAAAATGCTCCTTGTAAACCCTCAATGAGAGTAAATGCAATAAATAAACAGCTGTGTGATAACAGGAAGCGGTGGACAATGCTGTTGCAAATTTGTGACGATTGCTGTTCATTACTCAATGTCTGTCTAAATTAAGGCCACATTTCATATGTAGTGAAATGTCCTGCTTCCCCTCCCCTCCACTTTGCATCATATTTTACTCTCTGTATGTTTTGCTCCATGTCTCCCTGCTACTTATGCTGATTGGTTGAAGCAAGGGTCTTATCTTCATACAGTGCCATACAGTGAAAGATTCAGCATGATTTACTCTTTAATAAAATATTTAAAAGCTGTTTTTTTTTTTTTTTTTTTTAAATATTGTTAGACAATTCAGCAAATGTCAGCAGGAGAGGCACAGTGCTGAACGCTACCAGCTCAAAGCACAACATTCCGCACCAGCTGATTCTGGGGCTGTGCTGATTGAACCCCTTCACTCCTTCTCTGTGCCTTAAAGGTTTCCTGCTGCATGTCTGTGGCGGATGCTCTGTGGCTGTTCCAGGTTTTTGCTCCTGCAAACCTTCCTTTCCAGGTGCAAGCAGTCGCAGAGTGCTTACTGGGGGAGCTCCTTTGCTTCTTGGAGTGCTGTGCCTGAATCCTGGTTTAGGCTGGCTTTCTCAGGACAGAGGAACAGGGTGTGCTGAGAAGTGGTTCCTGTAAATGACAGAACCATGGTGATAAGCATGGTGGTAAGCAATGTGCCTGAGGGCTGTTCCCTATAGAAATGTCCTGTTGACTTCGAGTGCCGAGTGGTGCAAATCCTGTGGTGCAGTGAGATGAGGATAGCTGCTTTGACTATGGGTGACTCCAGAAGAGCAATGTTATTTTTAAAAATAGATAAAATAGGCCAGAAGTTCGCATTTTAGAGCTAAAGCTGAGAACACTATGTGAGTGATTAAGATAGAGTCTTGGTTGTGTTGTTTCTTTTGGGTTCCCTCTGGAATCTGGAATTGCTATACTCTAGAACACCTCTTGTTTGAAGACAGGTAGAAGAAGCTGGGGTTGCTCAGTCTGGAGAAGGCTCAAGGGAGACTTCCTTGCAGACTTCCAGTGCTTAAAGGGAGCTTATAAACAGGAGGGAGGATGACTTTCTATGTGATGGTGATTATACAAAGGGGAATGGTTTTAAACTAAAAGATGGGAGATTTAGATCAGAAATAAGGAGGAAATTTTCCAGCCAAGAGTGATGAGTCCCTGACATGGCTGCCGAGAGAGCTGTGGATGCCCCATTCCTGGAGGTGCCCAAGGCCAGACTGGATGGGGTCCTGGGCAGCCCGATTTGAAGGGATGTGTCCCTGCCCACAGCATGGGACAGAACTGGATTATCTGTAAGGTCTGTTCCAACCCAAGCCAGTCTGTTATTCGGTGCTTTTACAATGCTATGATTAAACAAGCTGCAGACAGTCAGAGAAGCTCACACTATCCATCACAAAAGGAGCTGGTATTTGGTTATAGGAACAGTAACATGGCAAGTACACAGATTTCATGCATTTACTCTGCTAGGAAGAGCTACAGATCCTTTTAGAGAGCAGCGTGGGCAGGGCTTCATCAAGAAACATCTGTGTCCCCTTGTTCCTTTCTACAGCCCCTCTGGGCTCAGCAGCACTGACTGCTCCGTCCCCACCTGCCCTGGAGCTCCTTCTCCTCCTACTTCCCATTTGCAGCCCTGTCTCTGGCTGCTGCTTTGGTGGATGCACCAAAGGAGTCTGTGTCCTGCCCCCCCCCATGCAGTCTCCTGCCCAGCGCAGGAGATGCTGCTGCTGGTCCCAAACAGTGCTGCTTTTACCTCAGCCAGACCCTTCCCTGCTCCCTGGCTGGGCTGTGACAGGCCTTCTGCAGCAATACATCAATATCCCAGGCCATTTAAAAATTCCTTTCTTACTACAGCATCCCTTTGGCCTTGCTGCCTCCTCATCCACCCAACACAATCCTTGTGCTGGGTCAGCACCCAGCCCAAGCTGCTCCCATCAGCTTTCTACCATGTACCCCTTTCTTCAGCTTTAAATGCTCCTTCTGCTCCCCCCCTTCACTCTCTCCTCCTCTCTGCTGCATGTGCTGTTTTTTTTAAATTTTTTTCTTGCACAGACTCAGGCAGTAGTTTATCAGCATCTGTTTGAAGCAGGCTGGGAAATCAGATCTACTGAACGAGCAGATGCTTCATCCATGCTACTCGTCCCTTAGCACCACTATCTTCACCCACTCAGTTCTGGGAGTGCAAAGGCACAGAACAACACGCCTTTTCACTCTCACACTTGCTCTGATAAGAATCCGTGCACAGAAACAAGCTGTGGACCAGCATGTAGTGCCACAGGAGTTGTACACATGAGCCCTGAATCAGAAGTATAATTCAACACTGCCAGCAAACCCACTGCGACATTCACACTGAGAAGTACTGTTTGAGGACCTCAATTTGATGTACGGAAGCACTTCTTCGTGACACAACCAGTAAAATCCCTAAGGTGTGGTTTAAAATAAGACAACGTCACATGCTGTCAGTTTGCACCTTTATTTTTTAAAAATGAAATAGTCAAAGTACTTTCTTTTTCAAATATCGACACATAATATATTAACTTTTAATATTTACAGCGTGTTGCTGGGATGTTCTTGTAGAAAATGCATGCTTCTGGTCTGAAACCCAGAGCAAAATGCATCAGACCATGTAACTGCAGCCATGTAACATAACGTGTACAGTATCCAGTCACTATTCAGCACAGGAGTTAGAGCAGGAATAAAAAATTGGGATCTATTGTTTCCTAGCAACAAGGCTGAGGCCGTTATAACACAATTTCTGTAAGATCAGAACCTCTAACTGGTGTCGGACAGAAACCAAGATCTTGGCATACATTGTAAACATTTTACTGTTCATGAGAAAGCGAAAAAGGAACGTTACTTTGACATATATCGTATGCTATGCTTCTCTTCTCTTTTATCGACACTTCTGCCCGAAGAGTATGAAGACTTAATGTGTTATCATGGTTCATACAAGTAAAATACTGTCAAGGACACAATCTGATATACTAACATTTATTAAAAGGCTAAAGTCCACCACGAGATCTAAGGAAAAACTGGGAGCTGCCGAACGCGTTTCCTTAGACAAGGAATGGCTGGTGGCCAACGTCTGGGCGCGTGCCCGATGCCAGCGCCCCGCTCCTGCTGAGCCGTGGTTCTCCTCACAGCCGGGACGCTTGTGACCTGGTGATGGTTTGTGTCAAGGACAGCTTGAGTAACAGTCAGTGTTTGTCGGGAAACCCTCGCGGCCGGCGGTGTCAGCTGTGCTCCCCGCAGCAACCAGCACCTAGGCAGGACCCTGCCTTCGTTCAGCTCCAAGCGCAGCCCCTCTGCCGCCTCTTTCACCCCGAGCTCTGTGCCTTCCCGCAGCACCGAGCAGCGCCCCGACAGACGGACGGACAGCCGTGAGGACGCCGGCAGGCAGCGCCCAGAGCAGCGCCCGCTGCGGCAGGGAGAGGCTGTGCCTGGTGGGTGCAGCTGGGAGGGCACTGCGGAGCTCGGCCTGAACAGCTGGCACATGAGCACCGAGTCGCACATCGACCAGTTCATATATAGGTATTTGGCTATGTTCTACATATAGAGCTATATATATATTTATACCTTTGAAATGTTGTAGGCTGGCTAAATAAATAGGAACGCAAAGGAAACGTTACTTGTACACACTATTGATTTGGCTGTCATAAAAAATACACAGCACGTGTCTCTCATGGTAGGTACTTGGCTACAGGATAGTGTGCAATAGTGGGTCTTATTTTTTGCTTTATTTTGTTATTTTATAATTTTATTTTATTTTTTCCTTTTGCAGAACCTTGTTTGCAGTGCAGAACGCTAGCATCAAATTATCTGATTTAAAGAACAATACACATTTCCATGCACTTATTTTTCCTTTGTTTACTTTTACTCATTTGGGTCTCTAGGTGATAGTGCAAAATTAAAAAAGCAAGAAAAAAAGGAAAACTACAAAACAAAACCCAATGCTCAGAAATTATTCTAGCTACTAGAAGAAGGAAATGGAGACTGAAGTGTTCCCTGCCTCCATCTGAGGTTGTTCATGGACACAGTGGCCCACAGCTGTTTGCTGTAGCTGCAGTTCTCACAAATCACTGCTGGCCTAAGTGGTGCTACGACTTCAGCCCCCAGTGCTCATTCATTAATGAATGCTCTTTAGCACTGCCGACTCGACACGACACTTCTTTTTAGTTTCCTGAATTTCTGAAACTGTTTTGATAAAGGCATTTTTTCCTGTTCTAACAGGGCCGAGTAATATCACCAGATTCTTCATTCATCCAGATTCTTGTAAGAAATACTATTCAGAAAGATACCATAGACTGTCCACCCAGGAACAGGGAAAATGCCAAACTTACTCTTAGAGACAAACTTGTAACACTTCCCGCTCTTCGACCTTTTGGCATTATCTGAGAACAACAGTAATCAAGGCAGTATTAAAAAACACAGCTGTAGGTAATACAAAGTGCATTTCCTGCATATAATACAAATATAACTTTAAGAAACTAAAGGCACAAGCTAACTAAATAGGTATTACATACTAGAAATGCACAGTTCAATCTAATAGCTTCAAAAATTTGTTTATAATGGATATTTAAAGCAGTTTGAAAATGATACGTCATTATTGAATTGCAAAAAAGTATAATTGCTTAAAATATAAGTAAAATAGACTCTAATATTTGACATCTTGGATCAGTGATAAAATACATCATCACGTTTATGAATGCACTCTCTATATACAATTCATAAATTATTTTTCCATTGATTAAAAGCATATTAGAGGCTCAAGGATTCAAAGGTCCATTTTTAGGCTGGTGTGGAGGTATTCAAATTCTCCATGATTTTATGGAAAATTGTGTCAAACGGAACTGCTGTTGGCAGCTCCAAATCCTGTACAACAGTTAATGATGAGCCTGAGCAAAATGCGTTTTGGTCCACGGGTCCCCTTGGCTGTGATGGAGGGTGGTCAATGGGCCAGGATCTGCTCAACCTGACCCCGAAGCTCTGAGCCAGACTCTGCACCCCCAGAGCTGCTCTGGCTGCAGAAGGAGTAGGGGGAGTCTGTGTGAGGCTGAGACCCAGAGGGTCCAGGTCTCAGGTTCCAGTTCAGGCTCATCCCTAACTTTGGTACAATCTGCTCCACATGCCCAAAAACAAGGTGAAAAAAAATGAAAATTTGAAAGGGAAGAAAGACAAAGAAAGCACTTTGTTGGCTTCAGGAAATGTGAGCAGAAATTACTTCAATATATTCACCATGTCTGTTTTGAAAGGAATGTGCAATAACATCACTGTTACAGATAAACAGGTTCTATAACAAGACTTCTAGCTCTTTTGGAAAGTCAGCAAAGGAAATGTGCTTACCCAGCCTCTCTCCCAGGCACCCTCCCCCTGCCCGTGATAATCAGGTCTATTAAAATGACAAGTGAAAAAAAGGATCTCCTACTCTGCTATGAGAGAATTGTGCCAGCAGCGCATGATACCTTGGGAAATAAAAGTTTCTGCCCATGCAATATAATGCTTTTCTATGAGCTCTAGATATTGAGCTGAAAAGTGAAGAGTCATCCCCGAAATGTTCTACGTTTGTACAACATATGTACTATCCACACTTAGGTTCATCAACTCCCAACCCACCAATCTTCTTCACGCTTGGAATAATGATCAATACAGTGGGATTATCAATTTGAGATGAAAATAACATGATGCCTAAACCCAACACCACCACAATGATCTGTGAAAAGAAGGTCCTGGCCCAAGGACTACAGGCAGGACTGATCCTGTGCGGCTGCTCATTGCTGCACCGGGCGGACCCTCCTGGCTGAATAGTGAAGGTTGTCCCAAAAGCACTGAGCTAAAGCCCGTTCTGGAGCCTACTGATGTAGGTGGGAGGCTCGTGCTGACTCTTTGCTCACCATGTGCTGTTCTGGCCAATCCTGGAAGCTAGCTGAGCCCCAGTCGTGCAGGGCAAGCCCTGACCCCCTGCAAGATCCGCAGCTCCACGTGTGCTGCTGGGCTCCACAACCAGTGCCAGGGGAAATCTTGGGGAAGAGGCCCCTGAACGCAGATGCAGACACAACATGGTGTTCCTCACCGAGTGAGAGAGAGGCAGCTATGGCCCGGCAAAGACAAAGCTCACGTGGGGCAGCCTTTAAGTACTGCATCCAATAAAAGTACTTACGTACTGTATCTAATAAAAGTTGGGTTAGAAAATCCCATAGATCACAGCTGTGACAAATGACATGTGCAGGGTTGGTGAGCAACTACAAAGTTTCCATACACAGTCTGGTTTTTGTATGCAATCCCTTGAACCTATGGGAGATCTCAATGGGATAAAACTACCCAGTAAGAATAGGTTGCAGAATCAGGCTCTGTAACCTCTTAAATAACCGGTGAATTATTAAACCACCACCAACAAAAAAAAAGAAGTAGTGTTTCTTTAGAAGAAGACAGAGCATGCTGCGCTCACACCTGCCCTGCGCGCTCTGCTTCTGAAAGGTTTGAATACTGCCACACAAGAACTAAAAATCTTCACTGTAATCTCTTGAAGAATTAAACGAACAATATTAAAATACCATCTTCTGTCACATTTAAAGGCAGTTGGATATGTTTTTTCCTCTATATTTATATATACAGAGTTCTGATCTAGAAAAACCAATACAATAAACCATTTTACGTTTAAAAACAGGCAGTCTTTGGTGACGCAAAGGCAGAGATTTTCTTTGTTACCTTCTGCCTATTTCACTCTGTCTCATAAAGTGAATATTATTGGCACTGTCAGAAAGTTCGAGATACTGCTCCACTGACAAAACAAAATATCCATCGTAACCTTGTACCCGCCCAGTGTTTAGAAGCTGCTGTTTCTCTCCATCTGTCCATGCCCTAATCCCCTCTTCCCCCTCCTGCAGCCGTCTCTGCTCCTTAGTCCAGGCCTGAGCCACAGCTCTCTGCCTGGCTACCTCTAGGACATGGTTCTTTTCCTCTTCCACGGTCGTTCCGTAGCGAACGTTAAAGCACAGTGCGCCGTGCTGCAGCTGTATGTCAGCGAAGCGTCTAGTCCTCCCATTGATCACGGAAGTCATTTGCGACACTGTGACATTCACTCCGTTCTCCAGGATGCGTCGTCCTCCAGTGTTGCCAATTAGGGCCAAATCTTCTTCCAGAGACCCCAGCTTGATGAAGTAATGTGTGTCCCGGCCGTCTATGGTGAAGTGCAGGTTCTCCAGATAGTGAGCGTTGTTGAGTATGGCAGCGATGCGCCGGCTGTCCTCGTTAGCCACACCGATAATGTCTGCTGTGACGATGCCATCCTTGATAGCAAATTTGATGCCTTTTCCAAACACTGAAGGAATAGCTGCAAACCTCGGTTGCTTCACTCCCTCATAGCACTTGCCATCACTATACCTGGGGGTCATAGGAAGTTGATCCAAGGATATAAAGTTTCGGAGTTGCTTCTGTAGCTCACACTGAATACCAAGGATAGTCTGGAAAAGAAAACACCAGAAAAGTTTGCAGGAGAGAAATCTCACAGTCTCACAGTCCCTACCAGTATTTTAACTGCTTAAAATGGATTTGCAATTAGTTTGCAAACCATCGTACACATCTATAGAGCATGGAAGTACGCATAGGCTTTCTAATTACCAAAGGTACTACTTTATATCTCTTGGACTCTACAGTTTCTAGAAAACAAAAAGAAAACGTATTTATCACAAATGCTATTCTCATATTTATCTTCCCTTTTTTTTTTCCCCTCTCTCCTGTTGTCACTCTAACAGCTGGTCTTTTGAATTGTAGGCATGGGGAAATCTGAACTCAAATCTGTACTCTCATGCAATTCTAAGCAAATCACTTGTTCATTATATCTTCTGTAAAATAGCACTAACAGTTCATATTGCCCACTCTTCAGGGAAGGCAGGCTGTGAAGGTCTCAAGACGCTAGAAGAATAGGAACCAGGTAGGCACATCAGATCTGCAGATCTTCCCCCCACATTGTGCAGAAGAAAATCTCCCTCCAGCTGTCTGTCCATCAACACAATACATATCATTATACTCTTCTTGTGCCTTTGTTATAGCTTCTTCAATATCTCACTGACAATTCTGCATTAACATGCTCCACGGACATGACCCTCCAGCCTTCTGCACTCTATGTGGTCATCTATGCATGGGAAAAGAAGCGTATTCAATACTGCTGATGTGAACTCACAGCATTTTATGCTTCCTTTTCCTGGCTGAATAAGAGAAAGGCATCTATTCTACCTCTTCTATGTAAAATTATGTTTCTCTGTTAACAGATGCTCTTATGATTAAATGCAAAACACGAACACCCGCTCAGAACATCAGTAGCTGGCCCTTACAGTGATTGCTGGACCCTGTGAGCTGCTCCATAGCACTTCTTCAGTGACAATTAGCCCTGGAATTTTACAGACCCTCCACAAACCTGTAGTAACATTACTATTTTCCTGCAGTAACTATGCAGAGGAGCAAACTTGTACAGTTGTTTGCATTCTTAGTGATTTCGCACCTCTTGAGGCTTCTTTACTAAAAGATAACAGTTGTTTTAATTCTTAAATTCCATAAAATTCTCGCAGTTCAATTTGTGCATGCTTTTATCCATTTGCTGCAAAGTTTCTTCACTGTGTGCCTAAAAGCTTCTCATTAAAACTGTCCTCCACTTGATGCCAGTAAATAATGTGACAACATGAAGGCTTCTAGTGCAGTTAGACTATTATTTGTCTTGTCAATCAAGCAAAAATACAGCCACATTGTTTCCTTGGTCTCCACACTTTCTAATCAAGCTGCTTACTTTAGAAACAGAAGCGACTGAACAGAGTGTTTGCTAACCTTTCCAGGGTCCCACTCCTGGGTTTTTGTTTGAAGCTGTAGAAGTTCATATGTTGTCTCCAAAGCTTCGATCTCTGGTTTTGGAAACCCAGGCAGTACATTGTGCAACTGAAAACCAAATAGCTCTAGCCAACTTCCAATGTCTACAAAACAGACAAACAAAAAAAGGGATTCTGGAAATGAGGCATGTAAATCCTAGAAAAAGTCAGTGTAGTTTGCAGAAATCCAAGCTACGCAGAAAAATGATTTCATGTCAGTTTGTTTTCAATACTGGTTACAGCATTTATTGTAGGAAAGAAATCATGTGATTATAAAGCATGGCAATAATCAAATCAATAGTGTACTTACTTTCTATTTATAATGGAAAAAAACATTTTCTTCCCCTTATTTTAGCATTTAAAAAAGCAGCAGATACAACTATTAATTATTTTACTGGTTACCAAAAAGACTGAAAAAAAACAGATAAAGGTCAGTGAGGTGTTGGCTCCCAAAGGAGTACAGTAGATTAGAGCCAAATACTAACTTTAGATGTCTGCAAAGGATTTCTGGAATCTTGAATCCATACCAGAATCTCACCAAGAGTGTATTTTCATGAGAAATGTGTTACTTTTACCTGTTGTATACTTAGCAACATCTTGGATCCTGCCAACTGGGTAGTTGTTTTCAAATGAGTAGAGATTGAATGGTTGTGGGACAGCATTCAGGTGTTTCCATATGTGATGGTTTGGTGTTGTCCACCGGCCAGCAATAACATCGTAATCCCGCTGACCCAGATGAACCAATTTGGTGAGAGAATCATAGAGCCCTCCATGAAAACCAATGACAACCTGGAAATCTGGATTAGTGTCCTGGTAGATCTCTCCATATGGAGTGTACAGAATTTCTTTTATGACTTGGCCCCGGCTGCTAAATACAGCTAGAGGTGTTCCTGTGTTATCGCAAGCAACATAATATTCTTCTCCACTGCTTAATTCCATTGCAATGAGATGACCTTGAAGATCATAATACAGAGATGTTATTTCTGAGCTGCTATGATTGTACAAGTGAGTAACTCGTATTGGGTTGGAGAGATCAGCATAAAAGAACTGCAGGTGTTGTCCCAGGCTTGATTTGCTTGCAACTCGTCTTCCAAGACCATCGTAACAGTATTGAACAGTCCAGCCAGACACTTTGTTGTATGCTTTGTTCAGCAGACCATTAGAGTTGTACTCAAAGATCTCATTGCCTCTTTGCCTGAGAAAACCATCTTCATCCATTTTATATTGAATTTCTCCAAGTCTGGTAATGCGATCTCTAAGGTCGTACCTCAGAGGAGTGAGGCGTGCACTGTTTCCATGGCTCAGCAAGTTGATGTTGCCATTAAGGTCGTAGCTGTAGCGCCACTGGGTTTTATCATTCACAGACACGGTCTGAAGCTGACCATCAGCATCATACTCATAAAAATACCGTGTGATATTGGCATCTACACCAACGCGTGTATCACAGATCACCATCCGGCCCATATTATCATACTGGATGGTCATCCAGTAAGCAATTGACTTGAGAATTTCATACTGAACTTCAATCACCTGGCCGTTGGCACTAAAAATTTTGGTATGTTTCATCACAGTGGTGGTTATAACTTGATTTAAATCATAATTAATTACACTGAATTTCCCAAATTGTTCAGTCCTGCCAGAGACATCAACGTAACGGTACAGATCAATGGGCAGAGGCGTCTCGTTTATCATGGCCTGCATACTGGTGACACGGAAATTGTTGTAACTGTAGTCAAACCTGGCATTGACGAGCCCTTCTTCACTAAACCTGAAGATCTGGCGACCGATAAGTGGACCTGTGCACAACAAGCAGGAGAAAGAGGAAAAGCAAGAAGAAAAATGAATTACGTCTATAGAATACTTTAACCTACACAACTGGCACAGACAAGCTGCGAACTCAAATGAACCCTTGAGCCTCATTGCTACTTGACTGTCTCAGGCAGTACCACTAACCATGTTAGATTATTCTCTCACAAACTTTTATTAATGTTTGCTCTATGTAATATTTATATTTTATTAACGTTTGTTTAAATGAATGCTTTTTTATTCATAATTATGATTTCTATTTACTTGCAAGATAATTCTAAACTGAATTTATTTTCCATGCTGATCTCTTTCCTTATATGAACAGTTCTCTTGAATTTATGTTACATTATGGTATAAACAGGGAAACTTGAAAATGCAATCAATAAAACAACTTGATTTAGTATTTAGCAAATATCCACACAGTGGAATAAAAACAATCCAACACTGTAAGAGCTATTCCGAACCAAGCAATAAAAAGAAAACCGTATTTCAAATGGGGCAGCTATATATGCCTGTGGACACAGACATAGACACACACACACACATTTTTCTATTGAAACATAAAAAATAAGAACTTGTAGACGTAAAAATAATGGAATTTCATGACAGGTAAGTGCAGAATCAGGGAAAAAAAAATTAGCAAAGTAGTTATAGCTAGACAAACCTGTTTGCCTGTATCTGATGGTGCAGATGAAGCCATCATGCATTAAGTGTATGGTTTTAATAACGCCAGAAGATTCCTCGTAGGTAAATGTGACTTGAGTAGTGTCATAAAGAATCTCAGAAAGTCGAGACTGTTTGGAGTACTTATAGAGGACTCTGCGTCCCGTCCCGGGATACAACGTCTGCAGAAGCCGTCCATCTCTGGTGACGTCCTGTATGAAGGCCGCACCACTGTCCGGCGGGGTGTAGATGTTGCGATAGTACCCAACAGAGAGCATGGTCTGCAAGGCATGGCGTACCATGCTGGGCATGGTGACCGACAGCAGGTAGTCTGACTGGTCATATTCAAAGATGTAGCGGCGCTGGCTGTGCAACAGGAGCATCACAGACTGCAATCAGACAGGAATGGCGGTGTAAGAGGCTGATCAAGCGCTTTATTATTCATCAACTAGCTGCTCTTGGAGGTTGCTCTTACTGTCTGTTTAACCCCAGGTCAAGCTTTCAGCTCCAGCAGACCTGGCCAGCAAGGTGACGTGGAACAGAAGGAGAATGATAATAGGGCTGGAGGTAAGGACCCCCAAATTGGAAGGCAGATGTGGCTCTCAGTGGCATTTCAGCCTCATGCTGACTTGCTGCACAACTCTGAAACATTTAGGTCATCCTCTAAGGAAACTCCAACAGAGGGGACCTCACTCCTAGGTAGAGCATCTGTACCAGCAGATGTTTCTACAGGAGGTGGAAAGGAGAAACGTTCAGTGTTGTGTGCATGGTGTTTAGTTTTTATTGGAACTGTGCACAGTTCTAGCCCAGCCCTACCCCTTTTTTGTACATCTTCATACTGTCTCACAGCATGCATGCTAACTCTGCTTACACAGATGGGTGAAAATGGACTGCAAGTTCTTTGGTGTGACTACTTCTGTCTCTGTTTTTTTTGTTTTGTTTTTGTTTTAAAATATATACAAAGATTGGGTCCCCAGCCCGCAGTAAGGTACTGGCTGAACTCTCTCCTAGCACCGATGTGATGCTGCTCTCTACATATTGCTCCCGTGCCTGTTTTTAAGCTGTCTGCCATTGACAGGGTATGAATAACAAGATCAGTAACATCACTAATACAACTTTAGTGCCCCTCTGTGTCATTTTACAGCACTTTGAGGCTTTTCCACTTTTGTCCAGAATAATGAAAAGACAGTCCATAAAATGGTTGGAGGCTGAGTATCTTGTCTGGCTTATTAAGGGACACTATAAAGAGAAAACAAAATAATTCCCTATTCATCCCAATAATATTGTAGTAGATTTTTGAACTATTTGCACAGACGGGGTTCTAATCGTTTTAAGGAGTTTTGGAGGCGGGCTCTCTGTGAAACACCTCCCAAAACTGTCACTTTGCCAAAGGAGCCAGAGCCTGGTCAGTGGCACAGACTGGTGCCACATGGAGTCCAAGAGCCGCTGGCAACTCCTCGCGGCTCTGCTGGGAACAGGCAACTGCTGGGCACGGCCGCTAGATGTCATTTGTGCCCAACACATCACACAGCCCTCGGCCAGCTCCCACGGCAGCGAGCGGCAGGATTTGGGAAGGGATCTCGGAGTGAGCACAGATTTGGGAACGCCGTTGGCTAACGGAGCAACGTGAGCCAAAGAAGGGAAAGAGAGAATTGCGTGCAGGGCCACCATCACGGCGCCTCTGAAAACACAGGAGGCTGGGACTAGCCCTGGGAAGTGGAAATCTTTGTGAAGATACATAATTAACTCATCAGGTGCTAATAGATGGGAAAGTAAATAAACAGGCGTTGGAAGAGAACTGTGTAATTGATTTTTTGATAAAAGGAATTATTGGTTCTTATGAGGTTTCAGACAACATTTAGTAATCATTACTTAATTAACACAATGAGCTATTGACTTTAATGGGCCACAAAATTATATCTCCATGTCTAATTCTGACAACGAATTCATCTTCCTCTGGCACGAGGAACAAATTGTGATGGAAGTACATTAAATAGCTGGGAGATTATGTCCATGGTGTGTATGACTTTCAATAATTTAATGACAAGTTGCAGCATAAATCAAGACTGCCGCTACCTAGGCCTGTAAGCTTCAGTCATTTGCTTCGACACGATCAGGATCTGTCCACTTGTGCAGGATTGCAGAATGACAGATTTAAGTCGTACGACTTCATTTATCAGCTCCTCATAAACTATGAGCAGACAAAGGAGTTGGAGGGATAAAAAAAACATACATCTTTCCAAAATTACAGTCCATTAGGCCCAAAGAAAAAATAACAGATTCCTCCAAAAGGCAAGCTGCCCAAATATTTGGAGGCTGCACAAATGCCTGTTTACTTGCAATTTGCAGAGCATACAGACAAAAGGAGCCCTGACAAATTTATCTGAACCGAACTTCTGAAGCTTCCAGGGTTTGCCAATCTTGTTAACAAGTGCGAGAACCATACTGCATGCAGACAAAGAAAGAATCACATTTTTATGCATCTTTTTTTTTTTTTTCCTCTGGGTTAGATTTAAGGTTTTGGTTTTTTTTTCTTTTTTTTCTTTTTTTTTTTTTGAGAATCAGGCTTAAATACATTCAAAATAAGTACAGCAAAGTTTATCTTAAAAGTACACATTTGGAACTTTTAAAGATATAAATAACTTCAAAGCTATTGGATTTCTTGCGTGTAACATCCGCTATCAGTTTTACCTCACCTGCCCCTTCCTTTCCATTCCCTGTGGTAAACAGGTTCAGAAAACCGTTCTGCAAATTCAGAATATATCGAGGAGTCTGAGATGCTGCCATTCAAAAATTAAAAAATTTGAAGGACACTGAAAATAACCTCACACTGAGTTGCGAAAGCTTTCAAAATACAGATTTTTGGATTTGAGAGACAAAACGATTCTGAATGAGATGCTGCTACTGACGAATGTGATGTTGTTCTTCCTAAGACTATGCAGCATTTATTCCCCCATTTCATGACTATTACCTACAGTCATAAATGAAAATTACAACACTCAGGCAGTTTAGACATGAAGTCACTATAAAAGCATGGCAATAACTCATTTTGTATTAGTTTATGTTTTTTCCCCATAATGGGCAACATAAATAGTAAAGTAATCTTTCTGTTGGCAGGATCAGTCCCTTTTTGACAGCAGAGCACTGAGCAGGCACTAGCTTGCCCTCACCGCTGTGTAATTCTGGCTTAAGAGAGCTGTGTTTGTTGGGAGGAAACAATTCCACTTCAATGCCTTTTTTCTGACTACGTCACACAGAGCAGCAATGCATTTTTCATCAGTGAGAGTGTCCTTTGTGCTTGGACAGAGACGAGGAAGCCTTTTTACCAACTGATTAAACAAACCTGAGGTGCTGATAACTTTCTTCTGAACTAATCTATGGCAGACTCGAAAGGATGACACGTAAGTCTGAGACATTTGTTCAGGTATGCATTTTCTGTAAGTCTTATATCCTATTGCAAGAGATTAAATACTAACACAGCTCACAATATGGTGCCTGTATCAAACCAAACATTCTTGTGTTGGTACAACAATCCACTTATAAAGTGATTTACCTTTTCTAAGTACGTGTAACTCCATATTTTGCCATCTGCCCATGTTCTGGAAATGATGTTTCCACTTGGATCATACTCCATTTTCTCAGTCCAGGTTCCTCTTTGGATATAGGTCACTAATCCAGAGTGGGAATAAGTGATGTTGACCTCATTGTATTTGCTGATGGGTGACCACAGAACCGGCCGCCCCGTCTGGTCATACATAATCCGAAGAGTGAATTTTCGATGATCATCATAGATCTTTCCAGTTCTGGTGACATGGTCAAAATCAATGGAGAGCAGATTTCTATTGTGGGCCTAAAAACAAAGACAGAGGAAGAAGATGATATACCTTAATTCCAGATGACGGAAACATTTCTGCTTCGGCTCTGATCAGAACAGGCAATGCTTTAACAGCATGATGGACAATGTAGGGCACACTAAAGACAAGAAAATAGAAAAACGTTCAGTTGAGAAATAGGAGGACCAACGAATAAAATGCTGCTTGTGTTCGGTGTTACATATCACATTGCAGAATGCTTTCTATTTCCATATGCTCAGCTTTCTTTTCCCAAGCTTTTCAGCTTTCATCTCTCCTACAGGGTGTGTGATCCCAGCCAAAGATGTGTAGTTAAGCCCACAAATAAACAAATCTCTCCTAACTCACCTCCTCTCTCCTAAGCTCCACTAGTGCCAATGGGTCAGCTGCTGCTTTGGAACAGCCCATCCAGGTCTCATACCAGTGTGAAAAAGGAAGAGCTGTGCTTTTGGCTCCCAAAGACCCTACTCACTAGTGTCCTCACACTTCTTCACAAAAGCAGCCCACTCCCAAGGCTTGTGAAAGCTGGTGCCTTGGCAGGGGATCAGGCTGACTGCCTCGACCTGCTAGTGCTTGTAGTCCCATGGGGGGGGGGGGGGGGGGGGGAGCAATCAGAAATCAAAGACAAGGCAGACTTCTGAAGACAAAATATGCTTCTCCAATGCTTCCACCATCTACCTCCTAACATCACTCAGCCACTGGGCAGTCACTATTCAACTTCATTTAATTCTGAATTAGAATTTAGGGAACCATAAAACACTGCTCGTTGACTTGTCATTTTCAGATCAATGCCCAATGAACTCTTTGTATTAATTGACTGCATTTTGCCTAATCACTTGCATTAATGTATTCGGATTAATACATTCCTTACAGCTGAGATGATGTCAGCTCAGGTGTTAGAACTGCACAGCACAGTGCCTGCCTCTCCTTGAGAGCTGGAGGCGTTGCAGTAAATAGTTAAAAATATCTGTTTAATAATTCAAGCTGTAATGGTACGGTGGTTGTGGTTAGAATGAACATTATTTTCATTCCCTTTTCTGTTTTTAGATACAAAATAATTTGAAAATCTAGAAGAAGCAGGTGTTCTTTCTTCAACTACCATTCCTGTGGTTTTATATACACACATGTCTAACTTTAATACTGTTCATTTACAATAGCTGTAAAATACCTATACACCCCTGTAGACTGCTGTAACTATTACAATTTATGCTCTAATGATAGTTAAGGAGCTGAAGTAAAATGTGATGCTCAATTCAACTATATTTGCTTGTATACAGTCTGTTGGATTAAGTTTATGTTAATGTATTTCTTTGCAAACTTCTTGCAATTTCTGAAAAAACCCTCTTGGTGGTAAAATATCTGAAAAGCAAGCAGGAGATATGCCCTGGCTCATGCTCATTTACTGTATATGTACATACTTATGCTCTTATTGCTAATATTATTATTATTATTGTAAAATGCAGCTAGAAGAAATGAAAGTCTTGAATACAAATTGCTTGCAATCTAATTTTCAGAGACAATATAATGAATAAGAATGGAAAATACAGAGAGACAGAATTAGCATTGAAGAAAAATAGCAGCATCATTTAAAGGCTCACAGTCGATGCACTGGGCGGCCTGGGCACAGGTTGTCTGGAGAGGTGGTGGTGCCCCATCCTCAGAAACACCTGAGGGAGCTGTGGAGTCCCTGCTCATTGCAGAGGGGTTGGACCAGATGGCCTTTAAGGGTCCCTTCCAACTCAAAGAGTTCTGTGATTCTATGATGATCCTGTCATAGTTGAAACAAGGTTCGGAGAGGCGCCGTTGCTTCTTTTATATTCTGTATTTTATGCCGTTTGTGTTTATTTTTTTATATTAGATTTAAGTTAAATTTAACATCCTTCTTAAGACGAGATGCAGTGATACACGAATAGCAGGCTGCATTTCAATGCTGTCATTGAAATGCTGATTTCAAATCCCAGTGGCTTCCTACAGATAACTCCTCCAATGTATGTGCAAGTCTACAAGGAGCCCCTGTGAGAAACTGGAGCTCACGTGTGCGGTTACAAGCCGGTAAAATCTGGTTTCTGAAAGCAGTGTTGGGTCCAAATTCCAGCTGATGAAAATAGGGAGAAAATTCAGCTGATTTCAATAATCATGTTAGTAGTTCATAACAAGATACGTTATATATTTTTAAACATTTTTTGGCTCTATTTCTATTGATTTGCTTGCCAGAAATTTTGCAGTTGTCAATGATTGCATAAATCTTCTCTTGACATTTACTCTCAAATCTAAACTGTCTCAAATGTGAAATCAGATGAGATGATTGTGTATTTCCTTGTCTGTGTCTGGACTTGAGTCAACGCAAACTGATACAGGGTGACTGAGGATTTGACCTTACCATTACAACTTGCTGCAAGGCTGGTAAATAAAGGGAGATAATTTGCTAAATGTGATAATAAACATAGCTGTCAAAGCCTAAATTCAAAAGACTTTTGACTTGAATTGAGGCCAATGAGTTACTTCCATTTTTGTTATTTAAAAAGTAAAAAAAAAAAAAAAAAAAAAAAAAAAAGGTGAGACTGGCCAAGCATTCAATTTTCAATTTTGTAGATATTCAGTTATAAAACCTGGCCTGCATCCAACGCCAAGTTCCTCTAACTTATGCAAAAGACAGGAGGGAGCAGAGCTGAATTCTAATCAGTATATTACTATGCACCATGCTCATTGGTTTTAACAACAGCTCTGCTTCATTTTTAGAAGTCAATTAAAATAGCACTTCAATTGATAAAAAGAAGTCCTGCTAGATGAAGACTGATGTTAAAATGCCTGATTGTACATAGATTTATTATTAATATAAAGTGCATACATGCCTACGGACTGTTTTATGTACTTTCATGAAGTGCCAGGGCAGGCAGTTCTGCACTTAAAGGAAAACTCTGATTAATTCCTGTTTCCAACATTGATTTAGATGCTGAGATAAAGTTAGCTGTCTTTCCCAGCATTTCCATTAACACACTCATTTCTGCTTTAATTCTGGAGCAAGGAATATGTATCATGGGAAAAAAAAAACCAACACACCCTTTTCAAAACCCAACTTTTATCACATTATTGGGAATGTGCTAACAGTGGCCTCTTTCCACAACTTATTTTACACTAACAGTAACAGTAACTAACACGGTTTCAAGATGGGTTTTAATTGCGGTTAGGAATTAAAAATGTTAGGAACTGGCAGAAAAGGAATAGCTTTCGTCTCTTCAACTAGGTCATCCTTTATCTCATCCCCAGTGACCTGCCTTCTAATTTACACCTCTTAGCATTCAAAGCCGTTTGTTTCAGTGACAGTATCAGGACTGATCTTTAAGTGACATCTTTAAACTTGATTTCTATGCTTTTTTATTTCCCTAGAAAACTTCTCCATTGTACTGTTTTCTTCCCTTAACTGAGGGCGCCTGCAGATCTGTTCATTTCCACCGAGAACTAGTCCAATCCCCAGAGCTTTTTTTTACATTTATTTTCAAAGTTCAGCATAGTTCTTTTTGCCCTACATTGCAAGCTTTCTAACACACTTCCTATTGTGTCAGTCATGGCAGATTAAGTGCTTAACAACTTTTTTTTTTTTTTCAAGCTGGAACTCACTAGAACTCACTGGAAGTTTTCTGTAGGTCTCATCAGAACCTCATCCTTGATAAAGGCTGCTACTGATGCTATGTTTTTTTTCAAGCACTACTCATGGAAAGGATTTGTCAACAGTGGGCCTTAAGTGCCTTTCAGTATTGGCTCACTGATTCACTGTACATAGTGGCATTTTTGCTCCTGATGTCCTGCACGTTTCCTCTTATAAACAAGTTTCCAAGAAAGACAGCTGTCTGTGGGCATGTTCTGCTGCTTCTTTGCCTCCCTCTCCAGCTGCACTGTTCCGGCTTCTTTACACCAGTGCTGGCTCCCAACTCCATCAGCACTCCATGCAAACATCTCAGTGCTAAAGCTGAACCCTGGGAATCATGTATTTAACCTCTCCTCCAAACTCTATTCATCGATCACAGCAGCCTCAATAATCCATTTGTCTTCTGTGCTTATTTGCATGGTTTATCTTACGTGCAGAATACATCTGCTATCAAATCCTTCTTGCTATCCCACCAGATTTCTTCCAGCCTTTCTCTGACAGCCCTGACAACTCTAAAGCTCAGTGCAGTCAGAGAAGGGGAAACAGCATAATGTAGGCAGCTGACTTTCTTTTGGGTAGGCAAGGGCAATGCTCAATCCCCCATCATCTTGGGTAGGTATAAAAGGAAATCTATAATTCACAGAAATAACAATGCAAATGCTGCTGTGATGCTAGTGGATACTTCTGGAAGGACAAAGCATACAAATGGCATATTGGTATTGTTCTTACACCACAAACTTTCTTGCTGGAGGGAAGATGAAGGAGGAGGAAGAGAGAACACAAGTGCTTCTATGCACCAGCAGACTGACTTGGAGGCAGGTCCCTCAGGTGAACTCAAGATAGCTTCAGATTTTCAATATTTCTCTGAAAAATTTATGCCTCCAGCCAGAATCCATCTAATCCTGACCAGTTTCCTCCCCTTTTTGGCAAGCATTATTAAGGATCATGCAGAGGCAAGTGAAAATGAGATAAAAGAACTGGCAATCAATTTCAACAACAGAAAACATAAACTGAATAACAGGGAAGCTGTGCAGGATGAAGTACTTTGAAATGTGACGGTGATGAACAACTTGGCCCTGGCAGCGTAAGCAGAACAGATGACTGGCAACGTCCTTTCCATTTGAGACTTTTATTCCGTAAGATCTTTAAAAAAGTATGTGCCATACAGTTACTTAAGCACAAAATCACACAGGAAACCATTTGATTAGATAAAGTGAGCCACGGAGGCCACAGCTTCAATCCTATGATCTTAACAACACACCTTTGCAATGACAATACATTCAGCTGCCTCCCTGGACAGAGAGCTGGAGAGCAACACTAGGATAGGGCAGATGCAGTCAGAGGATGAGCAAGAAACACCACATGAAGATTTTTTCCCACTTGCAAGACCCTTGTAAGTAATTAATTGTGACTGCCAAGTCTGAAAGATGTCGTTTCAAATGTTTTTTTACACATGGTGGTAATATCATGGCCACATCATACAAGTTTTTTGTTTCTACCTCATAAGCACAGCTGAAAATCAAACTGATACATTTTTAAAGCAAAATAATATATGGGATATGATAACCAAAAAGAAATCCAGTGATTTAGTAACCATCTTCATATTTTTAGAGCTAACAGATGTACCTTCAGAGATAATACTCATCCAGCCATGTTGCAGTTAATAATGTAATATTTTAAAGTCCAGAATTCCCAGTTGTACTACTGGTACAGGTGCTTTATGGACTATTCATGTGAAAAACAGAACTGATTTTGTAAAAAAACCATCCTGCAAGGTAGTTGTCTCTTTGAGCCTTGGTGTTACCTAATTAAATGCTGAATGTTGACCATCTGTCATTGTAAACTGCGAGTTCTCCTGAAAATAAATATAAACCATGGATGTACTGTTAAAATAATTCTCTATTAGAGCTGTAAGGTAATGCAGTCAGAGGGAAGTAGGGGGGCTGAAAGCACACAGTGGAGGGCAGAATCCACAGAATTGTGGATAGATGGGGAGGCTCTATAACATCATGGCTTACAGGAGATGCCCTCGCACAGACACCCAAGGTATGCCCTGAGAGACCTCTGCACTGAGCAGCGGCTGGAACCTGCTGTATCCCCCAGAACAAAAAGGTGGTTAGATCTGAGAGGCAGAATCTGGCTCCAAGTCTGCCACTGTACTGCAGGAACTATGATTCGTCTGTTGCTCGCAGCTTCTTTCAAAGACATAATTAAGTTCTTAGTTGAAAAAGAAGAGGAAGAAAAGAAGTAATTATGTCTTGAAGTCAAGTCTAACAACCAAAATCAAACAGAGATTAAACACCCCTGCCAGTATTGGAGGAGTTTGGTTTTGAAATTCATGGCTGGGGCCCACCATTGATACAAACTTCCTATTACACTTCTTACAAAGTAGAGCATTTCAACATCATTTTAGTTCAACGGCTTTCAAAGGGAACACTGCACTTCACACAAGAGGAAACCTTACCCTTAGCCTTCTCTCAAACGTGGAGATATTGCCTTTGGTCTGCTCCCTCCTTTGCCTCCATTCAATGAGATTTGAGTTATGCTCTCCAGGAAGGGAGATATTGCACTTCCCTAAAGTGGGACTGACTACTCCTGCTAGAATATGAGGCTCTGTGTTAAGCGTGATTTCCATTCCACTGGCGAAGGTGACTCTCAGAGACCCATCTGGGCTGACCCGGTAGATATTCTGTGTGTTATCTGTCAAAAAAACAACAAGCAAAAACAGGGAATACAGAGAATTTCAGATTCACAGGTCTATGAAGAAAACGGGGCTTTGTTTGTCCCAAGTTTACAGACTTCTGTTCATGCACTAAATGCAGTGTGATTTTTGGAATCTGTAACCTCCAGATCTACACATCCACACATGCCTAAGCCTCTCTTTTTTACACTGGGACAAATGATTTCCGCTGTCCAGGTTTCCTAGCAGGAGTAAAGAGTTTTGCTTTCAGCATAGCAATACATGAACTCATAAGCTGCATTCTGACCACTGTTATTCCTCTACTCTTCCCCACTAGCATCAGGACCCTGGGGCAGAGGTTCCATGATGGCCAGCCTTGAGACTGAGTTCTACTGTTTGCTTAGGACTAAGAGACAAAAGTGAGTGTCACCCTTAATAATCAACTCCTCCTTCCTACACGTGCTGCCATCAGATACAGAACTACCAGAAAGAATTCATGGCACTGGCCAAACACGGCATTTCACTACCAAAACAGCAGCAGAGCACATCACTCTTTGGGCACAGTTCTCAGAATTACAAAGCTTGGTGTATTATGGGTCAATCCAATTCCCCTAGATACTGGCATGGTTAATAGCATGTAAAGCTTGGAGACATCAGAGATTTCAATAACTAGAATCTACCCACGGGATTTTTCTCGGAGGAAAAGAATTCACTGGTGGTTTGTTCCTAGCAGGAACCTCAGGAGAAATGTAAGTACTATCGAGCTATTTGTACTGAAACAAGGAAGAAACAAATGAACTAATTTCAGTGTCTTTCCATCAAACAGTTAAGAATGCAACAATATTCAGAGTCTGAAATGTGAAGACTAGGAAAGAAATAACAGAAATGCCTTCATTACCTTGTTTTAAAGTATATATTGTAGAAGTAGCTGAGAAGTTTGTAGCTGTGACCACGTTCTCCCGGTTTGAAGTATCAAGTTCCACTCTCGTCAGTTTTTCAACATCACTGTGGAAACTGCTGACTTCCCCAGTTGGGAATGTGGCATTGGTCAGGTGGCCATCAGAGTCGTACCTGCAAGACACAGCATTAACACCACAGGAATACTGTGCCTGCAGACACTGCTGACATTTTTTTAAAAAAGAGGGGAAAAAAAAAAAAAAAAAATGCATTTTCAACACTGTTCAACAAGCAAAAAGGTAAGAATTGGTGCATGTTTCATTCTGAAAGCCAGACCTTAGGCTACTGCAGCACTCCATAGTGTGAGGTGCTGGAACAGCTGCCCAGAGAGGTTGTGGATGCCCCATTCCTGGAGGTATTGAAGACCAGGTTGGACGGGGCCATGGGCAGCCTGGTCTAGTAGCAGATCTGGAGGTTGTGGACTTGATCCTTGGGGTCCCTTCCAACCCAAGCATGATTCTGTGATTCTATAACTGCCTTTTGCTGCTGATGAGCAAAGCACATAGTATGAATGGCAAAAAATGAATTGAAAAAAAAAGGGACTTAAAGCATAACAAGAGCAATAAAATTAGGTGGAAGTCTGTTTGGTCAGCTGTGTGGCTTTCACTCATGTTACGTTTCTCAGGGGCCAGAACTTCTCATCACAAGTAAAATCACCAGAATCCAGAGTGCCCCATTTCAGTTAACCTAAACTGAATCAGTGCTAAAGAAACCGTTCTTGTTTAAGGACTCTACGTAATAATCAGGCCACGTTATGAAAATGTCAGTGAGTAATTCAAAAGCTGTGGAGCAATGTTTCTAATGGGTCTCTTCAGTCTACAGATAAGTTTGTTCTTTCTGACGGTTCACACAGCAAACAACGCAGAACAATGGTTGGTATTTGATATAGTTCCATATTAGTGCCACCCATCTTAAAAATCTCATTGATCCTGAGACATTTTTACTCATCCAAGGGAACTCACTGAACATGCTGAAGACGCTTTTGCATGAGTAAAATCGACAAATGTTCATAAAATAGAAGCCCACTTGAGCAGGTAGGAAAGCATAATTAAGTTTTCATCTATTATTATCTGTCTCTCTTGCACTCGCAAAATGTATCCTCAGCTGGTGTACCAACTGGCACAGCCCTGCTCCCTCCAAGGGGAGCTCTTCCAATTCACATCAGTAGACGATCTGGCAATGTCCTTCACTTTAATGGGTTAGCATCCTTTCTTTCAGGCCCTCACCTATCCCTAATTAGACAAAATCTGTGTGCCACAAGAGATATTGATGAACGAAATCAGGAATTCCCTTTTCCATTCAGTATGAAAAAGAAAACAGAGCAGCTGTTCTTCTCAAATGAAACACTGGAAAAGGAACTTGCCAAGCATCTTGTATGTTTTGACATGTAATTTCATTAAATGTTAAATGCAGTATAATCTCTCTCTCTTTCACCTCTTACTGCCCTAACACATTTCGTGTGACTTCTTTCCATCTCACCCTGATGTCGGTTCTGTGCCAATGGACTGAGTGCCACTCTCTGTGATTAAAACAGATTAAGACCACCCCTCTTCATCATTAGAAAACTCTACAAACACTGGGCAACTATATTTCATTTACTACTTGATCAAACAGCTTGCTAAGTTATTTGGATTTTCTACATTACTACACAAAAATCCCCAAATGACAAATTTTTATGGGATAAATGCAGCCAGTTTGTTGGAATATACTTGTGCATAAGAATCAGGATCCACCTCTGCGATGTTGCTGCTGGATGCTGCTGATGAAGAGGTACAGAACTTCCTGTGTAGCTGAAAACAGGACTGGATAGCAGACCAGACTTGGCATTGAACAACTAACATGAGGCTGTAGAGCACATGCCCATGTACCCTAACTCAAGTAGATGGTACAGCTGACTTCAAGGTCAGTGTCTCCATAATGGTTTCACAGTGTAACCATCTAAAGGGCTTTTTTATTCCAGATTGCTTCAAGAAACCTAGCCCTCTGAGGACAGGTTCTGCCACCTTTCACATGATGAATAACAGCACACTTGGTCTCAGTTCTTGCAGAGCAATGTCCTACCCATACTAGTAGGGGCAGAATCATGACGTATTTCTTAATGTTAATTTGGTGCCCAGTTATTGCACTGTTAATCATTCTGGTGACCATTTAATCATGCAAATAATTGCACTGATTTCAGTACTCACATGAGGAAGTGCTCACCAATATTAGAAAAGCACACTTGGGTATAGAGCTTCACAATCTATTTGCATTTCTATGTGTAGCACAGTTAAGAGTTATACCATTTCAAAGGGAAAGCAGTCTAATTAATTTTTTCAGAGAGGGCTGTTTCTTGCAGATGTTTTCTTGTCCTTGATTTAATAGAGGCCCAGTGCCCCCCCTCCCTTTTTATGGCTTTAATGATATAATATTAGGAAAAAACCCTACATGACTGAAATCGCACATTAGTACATAATTTTATGCAAGAGCTCTTTCAGTGCTTCCATTCTATCAGATTAGACTAGATGGATGACAAGTACTTTTGTAGGTGGTTTTCTACCTCTTAATAATTTCCCTCTGAGCGAATCTGACACACAGGTATGTGTTCTGAACAGTTCATTATCTTTGCTCATATTCCCAAGTATGTGTGATATGTGTTGTTAAACAAACTCATTCCTATTTCAGCTTGATAGTGACATGGATTGAACTTTTGGATGTAAATGCAAATCTAGCTTAAACAGAAAAGTTGATTGCAGGCAACTGGAAAGTTGCTTGTATGTTAATTCTCTAAACTCTATGTTTATATATGACTAAGGACCATCATCTACCATGAGCTATTTATAGTGAAAAGGAAAATCAGCTTCTGAAAACACATCCACATTCAGCATATCATGGATTGTACCAATTGTCCCTCTGACATGGCATCTCAGCCACTCAGAAAGCTGTAACACATTATGAAGATGACTTAAAATATTGGTCTGAACAATAAATATTAACAATATGACTTCACCATTTAATATTGCTGCTATTTTTGTAATGTTTGATCTGTAACTCTGTTAATTTTGCTGGCAGATCTAGACTGGCAGAAGTGCACAAACATACGGTCTGTACAACTGAAAGCATCAGTGTGGATACTGTCCCTTCATGTATCTCTGGGTGAGGAAATCAGTACTACGTAAGTGGGAGGACCTTGCAAGCAGGCAAAGTCCTTTAAAAAGAAATCTTACTGAGTCCTGCATTACAAACTACTTGCCAGAGGATAACAGGCATGAGCAGTAATTGTCTGAAAAGGTTTACAGCCGATGCCAGCGGGACAGAGTAGGAGTAGCAATATTAAAGCCACTGAGAAGCACAGGACTACACATTATCCCCTCTAACATGCTCGAACAATAAAGGCCCTGAAACAATGCATAGTGTTCAGCATTTTAGGAAGCAGCAGACATGACTTGGAGCTACTGTGAAAGCTTTTTGAAAGTGTCATCTGTCCACCACCGGAATTGATCCCATCCTCTGGAAGGAATTTAAATGAATCCCTCTTCTTTCAAAGAAGCACATATTTTAATTAATTCACTTCTGTGTAGAACAGAAATCTCTCTTAGATCAGTGTTTAAACTGCGCCAGACAGCAAGCACCAGCCTTGTGCTCTTGCATGAAACTTGCAACTTCTACTGCTAGATGCCAGATAATGAGAACCGAATCAGGGAGGCTCTGTATGGTTTTGTTCTGAATATCGTCAAAAACGGCCCCAGTTGTCTATACCTAGAGCAACTCTATCATTTATTCTGTTTTAGTGGTATAATGGAGGATAAAATGGAAAAATATCCCCTTCAACAACAAATCCCACACTCTAGACAGCAGTTTCCCCTGCTTTTATCCCGTTTGCAGTTTAATAAAAAATAATTCTAAATAACCTATAATGATGGTGACTCAGCTGCCTTTCCAGGTGACTTATGCAGTAGCTTAATTTCTATTCATATCTCACCTGGATGGCTTTTCATTTTCTTTTTTGACAATGGACTCCTATGCCCTACAGAAAGCAGGCATTATTTTCCTTGAAGAACTTTGAATTAGTAGTGCAGTGTTAACACATGATTTCCATCAGTCACTTGCCATGTTCTCAAACAGGAATTATGACAATTATAAATAATGAGAAATCCTGATATATCACACAAATCAAACATGGCTTTTCTCTGGGGTTGTTCTCTCCCAGGGACCAGACTCTAATGTTCTGACTGCATCTGTACTGCCTTGTCTTGCCCTTTATGAGTCCTGTCAAATGTCTCAAAGCCCCTTCCTTATAAGGCCATTCCTATACCACTAATATATATCTTTTCCCTATTAGATATATGTATATTTAATTATATATCCTCTTCCTCTAACAATGGAGACAAGTCCGTTCTTGCATTTGAATGTTCCTTCCACCAAGATTCTCTGTTTCTTTTGTAACACTCCTTGCTCCTATGAGTATGTTAATTTTTCCCATTTTGTCTTCCTCAGGGTTTTTGCAAATCTGTGATTCACATCACAACTGGCCTCTACTTCTTTAGTTACCAAAAATTCCAAAACCATATTTGCATTTAGAGAAATAGAGATTCACACTAATACGGTATGAATGACGTGTGGTTCCAGGCAGTTTTTGTACATGTAATGGGCACTGTGTACATTCACACTGCGTACATTTACATTTGACAGGCTGTAACACTTAAGAAATGTTTTACTGTTTGTAAGAGCTTGTATAATAGCTTTGTCTTTTGTAATTACTAGAATCAAAAAAAAACCAACCATTTGTTTAAAACAGGGCTCCTTACGTCAGAAATTTAATGCCATGGACTTACTCATACACAGTGGTCCATCCATTTTCATCACTTTTGGTTGCTAGAAGTCCTGTGTTTCCAGGATATGTCATCAGAGCCAGGTTGTAGCCTTGGGCATAAACCCTTTTCAGAACACCATTGCTGCTTATTGTCAGCCAGTATACCTGGCCGCCCGGCACCACGACCCACAGGGGCAGGCCGCTCGTGTCTCTGCGGATGTGCACCGAATTCCCATTGCTGCTGGTAATGGTGACAACGTCCCCTTCTCCGCTGTAGGTGAAGTTGTAAATGTAGTCCCTTGTGATGAGGTTCAGGGTGTGCAGGTGGGTGCCATTGATGGTGAACTGATACAGCTCTTGGTCTGCTGGTGACGCAATCTCGTACAGATTCGTGTCACTGAGGTGAGCCTTGTTTCGGCTGATGGCGCGGATGCGAACGTTGCCAAGGTCTGCTACATACAGCGTGTCATCAGCAGAGACTGCTAGGGAGGAAGGTGCTTTCAGCTTTGCATCTTTGGCATATCCACCGTCACCTGGGACATAAATGGCAGTGTTAGTAATCTGCAATGTCTGCATTTAAGCTGAACCTCAAAGCCTGGCTTACTGCTTCTTCTCAGCATTTATATGTCAACAGGAGAGTATCTGCTTCCAATTCATTAAACCTCCATTATTTAAAGCTGGTGCAATTCTGGATCGGTCTCAGTAAAAACAAACTAGAAGACAAATATGCAACTTACACCATTTTTACTAACTCCAAAGCCCTGATGCTCAGGGAAGCATCACATACTGAAACGTGAAAGAAAAAATGTTAACAACAGGTGAAGTTTCATTTCCTACTTCTTGTATGCTGATATGTAGTCCAAGCAGAATTGTGGTATAAATAAAAATCAGTAATTCAAAGTAATTAAGGGAAGCAAAGATTAGATTGTACTTACTACAATCTCAACATTATAGAAAAGTAAATGAGATTAATAGCCAAAAAAGGCCTTGAAAATATACCCCCTCCTATATCAATCGTAATTGTACTTTGTACTTATAAATGCTATGTGTTTTAAGATCCAAAGAGGATGTTTTCATGATCATGGGCTATATACCTGAGTATCTAAATGACTTCAGATGAACAGGATTTTATGTAATCGGAAAGGAAGCATATTAAACCTCACTGTTAGAGAGCAGCACATTACTGTTACGACTGCTCCCTTTCTCCTGACTCAGAAATACAATTTGATGGAGAATTTGAGCATATCCTTTGCTGCCTTGGAAACGGACAAATGAGCTAGTCTCTGCCAAGCGGTGTCTGCCTTTCACCAGCCCAGCACTGGCACAATCATTAGCTTTGCCACAGTACTTTTCTGTGTGTGTGCTGAGGGTAGATTCCCTCAATCAGAACCCTGGACAGGATGCTATTCAGCCCCGGTACGACAGAGCCATACCTGAAGCTGGCAGCACGTGGCAAAGCTCATGAGATTTTGATTATCCATAATGGGTCAGGAACTCACCTCCTCTGGAAGACCATTTACATTTTTTTTCCTCTCCTTCTTGACATACTTTATGTTTTCTTGTCAGTCATTAACCTTTTACTTGAAATGGGCGGCTTATGAATTATGATAGCATTACAGAGCTGAACAAAGTGGTTCTTGGAGATGGCAAGATGACAGTGTACTGCCTTCCTCTGTGTAAGGGAACATTCTCTTTGGTTCCATCATGAAATAGGTTTATGTGAAAAAAAAACGCACAACAAGAAGGCGTGAGATAGCACTTTTCACAGGACGTGGAACATTTTGATAATCTCCTTGGCAAAAAGGGCTACCACATCCAGGAGTATTCAGGTGCAACCTGCACAGGGGCTGCTAACATCTTCAGAACGAGCAAAGCTGACATAAAAAGCCATACTTAGAACTCATTTTGAATGATGTGTAATCTCTGTATCGAAACAGGAAAATCTGTGCCCACTCAGAGGTTCTTCCAATGCCAGCTGGAAGACTCATGCCTCTGCACCCAATGGATTAAACAAATTCATGCGGAGCTGCTGATAAGGCTTTCTGCTTTCCAAGGAAGTTGAACCAGCCTGTTACTCCTGTCGCTTTGCTAACCTGATGCTATGCCAGAGGGTCTTGACAGTGCAGCAACAGGAAAGTACAGGATAGCGCTGTCTTACCTGAGAAGCAGTCACAATTAGGATCAATCTTGCAGTCACAATCTGACGGGGCTCCGGCGATTATGGAGATCTCGCCGTTGGTTGTGACCTGTTGTATGCGGTTGATCTTTCTTTCATCAGTCTCAGCAATGTAAAGAATCCCGCTGTGGGACACAGCGATGGCTCGGGCTGACTCCAGGGTGGAGTGGATGGCCACCTTGCTGACGATGAAGTGGTCGATGCCGGGCACCTGGCAGTGAATGGGGCGCCCTGCGATGATGCGCACACGTCTGCTCTCAGAGATCTGCAGGACGATGTTGTTGTCCAGGACGTACAGCGAGTTGTCCAGCGGGTTCACTGTCAGGTCTGTTGGCCACTCTAACCGCACCTGTGAAACCAAACCACGGGGAGGGCAGGTTCAAAAAAACAATGAAGACATAAAGCAGTTTTGTTCAACCATCTCTGAGGACCATGTCATCTAGGGGATTTACCCGCTGCTGCTGTGCTAGGATGTACCTTCAATTGCGTTTGTCAGAACACATTTCTACAAGCATACCCTTTTTGTGAGATCCAGCACCAATGTGGAGCTAAATTTGATTTCAAAAGTAATTTAGCAACCCCTGAAAGGTATTTGCAGAAGTCCATTAAGGGCGGAACTTTATTATACCTATGCATTCATGCAAATAAAAGCATACACTTTGTGTCATGCAACATCAGCCAGAAAATTCTCCAGGTCTGAATGTTATTGTTTCAAGGTTGCACTCAACACTGGCAGAGTGGGAAAGTTAGAGGTTGTCAATGTCCTAACACTTTAATTGACCGTTAGCACAAAAGGAAAATGACACGGTAGAAGAGCATGACACATTGCCACAATTTATTTACTAAGCCAGAAATGTTAATAAGACTTATGTGCCATAAAATATATAAGCTCATTAATTCTTTGTAATGTAATAATGCACCGATATATCAGACTTCACACAATACAGTAGCCCAGCCATTATATATATAGCCACTTATTTTAGTTTGTGAATTCAGTATTTCTGTCACGTGGTAAGTAAATTTGTCATAGTTAAGGTGAGCTTTTTGCCTTTTGCCATGAAGGTCAAGGTATCAACCAAGCAAAGTTTCCAAACAGCATTGGAGAAGATGCTACAAGAATGACCTCACTGACTTGATGCCTGTCGCATCAGGACATGGAGGAATTCAGCATGTTCCCAGCTGGAGGTGGGCAGCCTGTCACCCTGCAAGACAGCTGGTATGGAGGCTGCTGACCACAGTGTGTTCTTGCAAAGGCTTCAAATTCCTCCTACAGAGAATGCTCTGCAGCCAGTGCAACAGTTCTAGTCTGGGAATGAGCAGCTGAGGAGACCGGTGCTTCTCCCCAGTTAAAGGCTGGTGGAGGATTTAGTTTGCAGCTTGTCTATGGAAAGGTCACAGAACAACTGAGTTGCAGGGATTGCAAGACAGACTATTTTTATCTCAAGATGCTTTGCTTGTTATCTTTTGTGAAGAGATGGCTGCTTTTATCTGAATGGAATTTCTATGGACTAAATATTTCAGTCATCAGAAGAGAATAAATGCCAAACTAAAATGCAATGGTTTTATAGGCACAGAAGCTTCCACTATTTCATGTACTGTTTTTGTTCGTGTTTCCACTGTGCTAATTAAAAGATCTATGAATGCAGAGCCCACAGATGATGATACAATGCTCAGCACTGCAGAATACCATATGGTAGAGTGTGTGGCCATCACAGGCCACCTGCTCACCCGGGGTCAGCTCAGGCACCAGGCTGAAGGCCAGCTTCTGCCTTTTGCAAGCATTGGTACTTCCAGATAATCTCATTTCCAGAGGCACGTTGCTGGTTTGATAATTGATGTTTTAATAAAGCGAGGGCACTGCGGCTCCTGTGTCTCGCCCTGCGTGGTTACGCGGTGCACCACACCATTATGAAGGCTCACAGAGTAATCGAACTCCTCCTCGTGCCCAGTCCATTTCACTAGACAACATAATAACTGGCATTAAAACTAATGCTGCTGGGTTCAAGATCTCTTCTGAACCAAGTGGCAGAGTCCCTCCAAATGATGATAACTGCGGTGAGACAGCTGGAAGCAGATTCCTCCCATAAAAATGCTGAACTGTGTGTCCCACCCAACACGTATGGGCTGCTGTGCACTGAGCTGCTAGCGCATGCCTTCCTCGCTTCAGCTGAGAGCTCGATGGGGCCTGAACAAAACTTCAGGCACATGCCATCCTCTACAAGGCTAGCTGTGGGAAACTTGGGAAGAAACATATCTGCAGTGTGCTTTCAATGCAGAACACTTGATTGCTCTGTCAAACAGAATGGATTATTTGCAATGGCAGACACCATAACACCCCCTTCACAGATCACTCTGCTGTAAAAATAATTTGTGATTAACTGTAACTAGATTATTAGTGGGAAAAACTTTGGGTTGAAACTCCCTACTTTTGCCATAACAGCTACGCATAGCACCTGCCATATCTTAATACCTGGTTTGCCTTCACAGACCAGCCACATTGTCTTCGCCTCAGTGAATAAATTGAATTCCTCCCACTGTGAAGGTATGTCTGGTGTCTTGCAGATAAACAGCGTCTGATCTGGACCAAAACAACTTCTTCTCTGGTTGATTTGAGGCTGGTTTTGTTTATTGAGGTAGAATAAGCTTTATGGAAATGTCCATTTCACTTGCAGCAAGGTGCCTAAAACCTAAGAAGAAGCTGGATCTTAACAGCTGCCATTATCTGCAAGCGCACTGCTTTCATATGGATTGCTTCTGCAAATCTAGCTGCATTATGGTAAAAATAGATCAAATTTAAATTGAGGACATCTAAACAGTTCTGGCTACTAAACCTGACCTCCAGCTAGCTCTCTGCAAAGCTCGCAGAAGGATGACTGCACTCATTCCTGGGTTTAAAGCAGTTGTGGATGTATTAATGGTCTAATTCCAGGCAAAATGTTAAAGCTAGCATGTACCTGTCTAGAGACTGCAGTAAAAAAAACAGCTGCCACTTGCTGCTGGAGGGGAAAAAAAGGCCATGTAGGCCAATTAAAAGCAATCAAACGTATGAACAAATGCAAAATGCAGAATGTTCTGAATCCAAAGAAGAATCTCAGATTTGGAAAGAAATCTGCACTGCTCTGGTCAGGATGTGGCTTCATGGCATTAAAGGAGTGTGAGCTGGGGCTGCTGCTCACCCCTCATCTGCCCCTGCAGTCCCCAAAGCAGTGCTGAGCTTTCCCTGCTCCTGTGGTGTGTGGGTTCAGGAACCGTGTCTGGCTGAAAACTAATCACCTCAATCAGCTTAAGCTGAAGTGTAAGTGCACCCTCAGGTTCACTGTTACCTTGAAAAGTCACCGGTTGTTTCTTTTCTTTGAAAGCAAGCTGCCCTCTGGCAGGTTTCTGTGACCAAACCATCAGTTGTGCTGCGTTCAAAGCCAATAAACATATTACAGAGAAGCACTTCAATTCTCATCTGATATGACTATGCCTATTAAAAAGTTTTTCCAGACAAACACTCAGTTAGGGTTAGAATATTAAGTCAGTTAATATACTTTTTAATCTGAAGCAGCACTTCATCTGCAGAGTCCTCTCCTATAGACGTATATTTTTCTTATAATTAAAAATTGAGCCAACTGCCAAGTGTGTTTGCTTATACCTGATGGGTTTTTATTTTTAAGCAGTGCACAGAAATGGCTTTGCAGATTATCCCATTATGAGCAAAAAGATAAGATTTGTTCAGCGGCAGTCAATACCTTACTTCACACATTGAAATTTTCAGGTGACAATCTTGGTTTGGTTCACTGGAGACTGAGCGTATGCAGTGGAAATCACTGTGTAAACAAGTGAACCCTTGAGCAATGAGACCTTTTGCATGTAAGTATTAGCATGCCAGCTTCTCCAGGAGTCCAGCATTTAACTGTCAGCATAAGGCTCCAGCTATAGGTAATAATCAATGTCTGGTTTGAGAAGTGCAAAATTAAAACCCACTGGCCTGGCTTTCTAACAGGTTTTTTTCATGTCAAGTGTTCTGGAAAATACAAAATGCACTGAGATGGCTTTGACTTAAATACCTTTTCATGGGGAGATCTACATTTAGGTAGTTAAATAGCTCTCAGGCTTGAATGGTTGGTATATTTTCTTTCTTGCATCAATATGCATGTGCCTGTATAACCATCTGCCTATCTATCTATCTGGTTGTGAAAATCTTTTGTGCAACAGAACATTGGAACTAAGTAAATACTGTGAGTTTTTTGCAAAGTAGCACTCACATCAGCACATTCACCCATACACCTCTTAAGCACACAGAGACACACATGGACACATATCAGTGTTAGCAAAGAGTACCATTTTGCTTTTTGTTTTGACCACACGACCAAAACATTCTGCACAACATTTTACAGCTGTGGCTTTTTTGGTGTTACTTTACAGAAATCAGATCAAAAACTGTTTTACTGTTCATATCAAAACAAGAAAAGTAATGAGGGAAAAACTTATCCTTGTCCACAGATGCAGATTTCAATTCACATGTTTGAGATGCTGGGGTAAATTTCACTGGGGTAAGTTTAATTTATCGTGGGTTAAAAGCAAACTGCATAAATCCATAGAAAGTCTTCACAGTTGCTTTGATTTCTTGCCATGCACTGATTGTATGTTTTGATTCAATTTCATGTAGTAGCACAAAATTCATGCCAATTGGTTCTGATAGTCCTGACTGATGGATTACTTCCTATCGATACTGCTCAGCCTCAAGCATTTCTATTTATGCTAGCTTTGTCTTTATTCTGCTCTATGACACGCATTTGCAGACCTCATCACAGCCTCCTCTATATTTCTCTTTTGCTGCTAACCTCATTCTCTCATCTCTTTCTCTCCACACTCACTTCAGATGTTGCTTCCAGCACAGCCATGTACGCACCCCACTGCTATGTGGAACAGTATTTTCCTCCTCCTGCTGAACCCCTTCTTTCTCCTCCTCCCCTGCGTACAAAGGCTCAGAGAAAGGACTTGCTTAGGTGGGGCTCTAGAGGTGAACACAGCTTACAAGGCTGGAGGAGCCTGCTTCTGCTTCCCTGAACTTTCTACACAATGTCTCACTATATATATTCCTCGCTATTTCCTCACAGTTGACAAGCACTGATATTTTTTTCATCATTTTCTGACAGTTTGCTCTCACTTCTGGGCTCTCTCTTTTGTTGACACTGACACTGTCAGCGTATCTCCTTCCTTAATGGCACAGAGACAGAGCTGTGCTCATGCAGCCTGACACAGGGAGCACTTGGCATGGTGGGATTACAGCTTCCTCCCACTCGGAGCCAGCCTTTGTTTCCCATGCTCCTGACGCTGCCTACTACAAAATTCAGAATTATG